TAAAGAATGTTTGGCCCTCTGGGATAATCCAGTCCAAATAAATCGGCTATGCAGCGATTTAAGAGGTTCAAACACGGAGGATTGTTCCTTTTTGAAGAGTGCTTCATGTATGCTTGAACTTTGTTTAATGTTGTTGAGGCAAGTTAAACATAAAATATGATGAATATTATGAAATAAACATGATTGTGAACATCAGTTCGATGCGTAACGTTCTTTCAAGACAAAGTTACAGTGTGTGTGTACTGTGTGCTCGGGGCCGGTGTTAGCCTATTATGGCTAGCATGGCTAGCTTGATCTACTGAGCAAATAAAAGTACATCTGAGACCATTATTGTGCAGATTAAAACCCCAGTGCATGTAGTTGATTTTACCTTCGTCGTGGTCGTCATCGTTGGCCACTGAATCCGCCGTTTGTAGTCCTGCCCGAGTTTCTTTTTTTTTAGCCGGTGTGCCGTGGGGCTGTGCACATTCCCAGGTCGAGTGAAAGCTACTGAACTGGCTTCAGTGCATTCCCTGGGTCGCGTCCTCTGCGTAGATCTCCAGAAGCGCCGACACCTCCTCATCATTTCTTGATGCTTGCCATAACTGCTTTCAAAAACAAACACAACGCACGGAGCGTTGTGTTTTTGTAGCGAGGAAAAACAATGGCGGCTCTACACAACATTTTCAGAGTTGTACGGGCGTGGTTTGCAATTCGCCCAGCCAATCAGCACTGGGGCACTTTTGGAGACTTTTCACCCACAGAAAAGTACGCTCTCTGAGTTGGCTCTAAAAATGGGGGTAAAAGTACCCGAGATTAAGTACGATTTTTGGTGTGAACGCGACTCACGGAACTAAAACGCGAAAAGTACGGTGAAAGTACTCCGGTGTGAACGGCGGCTTAGGACTAGGAGTCTAGTCCCAGGAGTCTAGTACTAGGAGTCTAGTACCAGGAGTCTAGTAACTAGGAGTCTAGTTCCAGGAGTCTAGTACCAGAGTCTAGCCCAGGAGTCTAGCTCCAGGAGTCTAGTACTAGGATCTAGTTCCAGGAGTCTAGCACCAGGAGTCTAGCTCCAGGAGTCTAGGACTAGGAGTCTAGTACCAGGAGTCTAGCACCAGGAGTCTAGCACCAGGAGTCTAGCTCCAGGAGTCTAGTACCAGGAGTCTAGTACTAGAGTCTAGTACCAGGAGTCTAGTACCAGGAGTCTAGTACCAGGAGTCTAGTACCAGGAGTCTAGTACTAGGAGATAGTACCAGGAGTCTAGTACTAGGAGTCTAGTTCCAGGAGTCTAGGACTAGGAGTCTAGTACCAGGAGTCTAGCACCAGGAGTCTAGTTCCAGGAGATAGTACCAGGAGTCTAGTACCAGGAGTCTTGTACTAGGAGATAGTACCAGGAGTCTAGTACTAGGAGTCTAGTTCCAGGAGTCTAGGACTAGGAGTCTAGTACCAGGAGTCTAGCACCAGGAGTCTAGCACCAGGAGTCTAGCTCCAGGAGATAGTACCAGGAGTCTAGTACTAGGAGTCTAGCACCAGGAGTCTGTTCCAGGAGTCTAGCACCAGGAGTCTAGCACCAGGAGTCATCTAGCACCAGGAGTCTAGCACCAGGAGTCTAGGACTAGGAGTCTAGCACCAGGAGTCTAGCACCAGGAGTCTAGTTCCAGGAGTCTAGTACCAGGAGTCTAGCACCAGGAGTCTAGTACCAGGAGTCTAGCACCAGGAGTCTAGCACCAGGAGTCTAGCTCCAGGAGATAGTACCAGGAGTCTAGTACTAGGAGTCTAGCACCAGGAGTCTAGTTCCAGGAGTCTAGTACCAGGAGTCTAGCACCAGGAGTCTAGCACCAGGAGTCTAGCACCAGGAGTCTAGTACCAGGAGTCTAGGACCAGGAGTCTAGTACCAGGAGTCTAGTACCAGGAGTCTAGCACCAGGAGTCTAGCACCAGGAGTCTAGCACCAGGAGTCTAGTACCAGGAGTCTAGGACCAGGAGTCTAGGACCAGGAGTCTAGCACCAGGAGTCTAGCACCAGGAGTCTAGTTCCAGGAGTCTAGGACTAGGAGTCTAGCACCAGGAGTCTAGCACCAGGAGTCTAGTTCCAGGAGTCTAGGACTAGGAGTCTAGATGTGTCAGAGTTGATCTCAGGTCAGGTGTTCAGCACGGAGCGTTTCTGTCCCATAAATAAATAATATACAAAACATTTTTAATGTGAAAAGATATTGAGGTTTTAGTATAACGTTGTATTTCCCAGCGTCTCTGAGCAGGACGTCTCCAGAGAGCGTCTGAGTTTCCTCTGGAGAACGCTTCCTGCTCCGGTTCATCAGAGCGTTTCCTCTCCGTCCCTCAGAGGATTTCATCGTGAACTGACCTGAAGTCAGCGCTGAAGGCCTGCTGAGGTGAAGCTCTGAATGTGTGCTTTTAATCGTAGAAATGTCTCATATGTCTCATTTAATTATATATAATATCACTGTAACTTAACAGTTTAAATTCACGCCTAAATTCAGACAGAACGGTTGACCATTGTCAGGAAATGATCTTATGATCTTAGGTCTATAATTAGAATATAATATAATGGGAGGGATGAAACCCTCTTTAATGGTCACACATGCAGAGTAAACAGCACACAGTGACATTTGTTCTCTGCATTTAACCCATCCTAGAACCAGGAGTCTAGTACCAGGAGTCTAGCACCAGGAGTCTAGCACCAGGAGTCTAGTACTAGGAGTCTAGTACCAGGAGTCTAGTACCAGGAGTCTAGCACCAGGAGTCTAGCACCAGGAGTCTAGCACCAGGAGTCTAGTACCAGGAGTCCTAGTACCAGGAGTCTAGTACCAGGAGTCTAGTACCAGGAGTCTAGTACTAGGAGTCCAGCACCCAGGAGTCTAGCACCAGGAGTCTAGCACCAGGGAGTCTAGTACTAGGAGTCTAGCACCAGGAGTCTAGCACCAGGAGTCTAGCACCAGGAGTCTAGTACCAGGAGTCTAGCACCAGGAGTCCTAGTACCAGGAGTCTAGTACTAGGAGTCCAGCACCAGGAGTCTAGCACCAGGAGTCTAGTACCAGGATCTAGTAACCAGGAGTCTAGCACCAGGAGTCTAGTACCAGGAGTCTAGTACCAGAGTCTAGCACCAGGAGTCTAGCACCAGGAGTCTAGTACCCAGGAGTCTAGTACCAGGAGTCTAGCACCAGGAGTCTAGTACCAGGAGTCTAGTACCAGAGTCTAGCACCAGGATCTAGGACCAGGAGTCTAGCACCAGGAGTCTAGCACCAGGAGTCTAGTACCAGGAGTCTAGTACCAGGAGTCTAGCACCAGGAGTCTAGCACCAGGATCTAGTACCAGGAGTCTAGCACCAGGAGTCTATACCAGGAGTCTAGCACCAGGTCTAGTACCAGGAGTCTAGTACCAGGAGTCTAGCACCAGGAGTCTAGCACCAGGAGTCTAGCACCAGAGTCTAGTACCAGAGTCTAGTACCAGGAGTCTAGCACCAGGAGTCTAGTACCAGGAGTCTAGTACCAGGAGTCTAGCACCAGGAGTCTAGTACCAGGAGTCTAGCACCAGGAGTCTAGGACCAGGAGTCTAGTACCAGGAGTCTAGTACCAGGAGCAGTGGGCAGCTATTGTACAGCACCCGGGGAGCAATGGGAGTGAGGGGGGTTGTCCGGTGCCTTGCTCAAGGGCACCACGGCAGGGCCCAGGAGGTGAACTGGGACCTCTCCAAGTAGCAATCCACACTCCATATTTAGGTCTGTTCAGGGACCTGAACCGGCGACCTTACGGCTCACAGTCCAAGCCCCTACTGACTGAGCCACTGCCGGACCTACTGTTAACTTTTAAAATCCTACATGGACTAGCACCTCCCTAAAATAGAGCGGCATGTTTAGGAGAATGTGTTTGATTGGTTGTGAGAGGGATGAGGCGTGTAGGGTATTTCTAAGGGAATGCTCCGCTTTTTGGACAAAATGAACATTGACTCCTCCTGCCATTGGACGTACTTCTTCTCACTGGAATATTAACGGTCGGATTGAATACAAAATTGACCCCATTTCTCCAGCCAATGGCAGGAGAGTTTTGAAAGTGACATAAAACGCGATATTCACATTTTCCAGCAGGGGGAGCTCTAAGACCGTGTAATATCTTTGCTGTACTTGGGAAAAATAAAAAAAAGTGTATTTATGACGAAACACACTTAAAACAGGTAAACAAGTGTTTCTGGCCCCCAAACTTTGTGGGTGTGCTACAGCGGGTACCACCTGTCACTATACCAAGTTTGTAATCCATGCAACGTTTATAAATATTTGACATTGTCCGAATGTCTCAATATTCACACGAATACATCATATGGTGGCCTATATATCACCGTTCAAATATCAGCTCCAAATGTCAATGCATTGTGGAAATATGAGCAATATGAGCCTGTCCATTTGGAGGATATCGTTAACATTGAAACTCCTGGAAATGTACATCATTTGTACATACACTATTTAAACAATGTTTACCCATGATTGAAGCACCTTTCCTGGCTTGTAAAGTGCTGTGATGCAGTCTGTTCTCTGGGTACAGTCTTGTGAAATTAGCTGAGGCCTGCCTGATGGAACCAACACTTTTCTCCCATTTCAAACAAGTTTCCACGACATTTTAAAGCACTTTTACCCAGGATTCAAGCACCTTTCCTGGCTTGCAAAGTGGAGGAGAGACTTTCTGAGCCAGGACAATTGTTTAAAAGGCCGGGAAAAGTGTTTTTTAAACGTCTGGACAAGTGTTTTAGCATGTCCATTTGGAGGATATTGATTAACATTGAACCTGTCCTGGAAATGTACAGATTTTGTACATTTCCAGGAGAGGTTCAATGTTAAAAAAATAACACAACTTTGGTTTAAACTTCTATTTGTTCATTTCTTACCAGAAGGGGATTCAGTCTGGAATTTCCACCACACGTTTAATCACCACACATTATTAATATAATATTAATTTAATCTGTTCTCAGATCAGCTCCAACTTATCCCCATGTTCCCAGTGACGAGTCAGTTACATGTGTTTGATTATGTAACCTTTATTGGCACATGACATGATGACACACTGTGTTAAAGGAGACATCTGTTTACATCGTCAGCGAATAACATTCATCCTTTGTTATCTCCCCGTGTATTCAATTAAAAAGTACAGTTACAATGAGTTGGGACAGCCGGATAACTGCAGGTCCAGAGCAAAGTCCTCCAGGTGGGAAATGTAGTCCGTACACTCGGGAGAACTACAAACTGTCGGCCATAGATCCACCAGCGCCTCCGAGTCCACAGGGAGACGATACCTGAGGAGGAATAAAACATAGAGTGATGATCACTTCCTGTTGGAGGGGTTAATAACTTTAGGGTCCTGTTAAGATAAGATAAGGTAAGATGAGATAAGATGAGATAAGATGAGATAAGGTGAGAGAGAGAGAGAGAGAGAGAGAGAGAGAGAGAGAGAGAGAGAGAGAGAGAGAGAGAGAGAGAGAGAGAGAGAGAGAGAGAGAGAGAGAGAGAGAGAGAGAAGAGAGAGAGAAGAGAGATGAGAGAGAGGAGAGCGAGATAGAGAGAGAGATCGACTAGCTAGGAAGATCTATGGTTAGAATACCTCTCTCTCTTCTAGATCCTAGAGAGAGGATATATATATTCTCTCTCTCTCCTCTCTCTCTCTCTCTCTCTCATCTCTCTCTCTCTCCTCTCTCTCTGCTCCTCTCTCTCTCTCTCTCCTCTCTCTCTCGCTCTCTCTCGCTCTCTCTCTTCTCTCTCTCTCTCTCTCTCCTCTCTTCCGCTATCGATCTTCCAGAGGAGATGTGTTACAGAGTGTGTCCTGTAGGGTCAATGTGAACAGTGATGTTGGTGGACACTGACTTGAAGCCCCGGCTGAGCGTGACCTCCGACCCGCTGGCTCCCATCACCAGGTACTGTTTGCTGTTCTGGAGATCCACCGAGCTGCAGGTCACCTTCTTCACCAGCTCCACATCAGACCCTGAACTCACCGCCTCCAACTCTGAGAGGAGAGAAAACATATCAGTATGTAGTGTCTCTACTTTAAAGAGTCCTCTCCTGCTGATGTTCAGGTGTATATCAGTATGTAGAGTCTCTACTTTAAAGAGTCCTCTCCTGCTGATGTTCAGGTGTATATCAGTATGTAGTGTCTCTACTTTAAAGAGTCATCTCCTGCTGATGTTCAGGTGTATATCAGTATGTAGTGTCTCTACTTTAAAGAGTCCTCTCCTGCTGATGTTCAGGTGTATATCAGTATGTAGTGTCTCTACTTTAAAGAGTCCTCTCCTGCTGATGTTCAGGTGTATATCAGTCTGTAGTGTCTCTACTTTAAAGAGTCCTCTCCTGCTGATGTTCAGGTGTATATCAGTATGTAGTGTCTCTACTTTAAAGAGTCCTCTCCTGCTGATGTTCAGGTGTATATCAGTATGTAGTGTCTCTACTTTAAAGAGTCCTCTCCTGCTGATGTTCAGGTGTATATCAGTATGTAGTGTCTCTACTTTAAAGAGTCCTCTCCTGCTGATGTTCAGGTGTATATCAGTATGTAGTGTCTCTACTTTAAAGAGTCCTCTCCTGCTGATGTTCAGGTGTATATCAGTATGTAGTGTCTCTACTTTAAAGAGTCCTCTCCTGCTGATGTTCAGGTGTATATCAGTATGTAGTGTCTCTACTTTAAAGAGTCCTCTCCTGCTGATGTTCAGGTGTATATCAGTATGTAGTGTCTCTACTTTAAAGAGTCCTCTCCTGCTGATGTTCAGGTGTATATCAGTATGTAGTGTCTCTACTTTAAAGAGTCCTCTCCTGCTGATGTTCAGGTGTATATCAGTATGTAGTGTCTCTACTTTAAAGAGTCCTCTCCTGCTGATGTTCAGGTGTATATCAGTATGTAGTGTCTCTACTTTAAAGAGTCCTCTCCTGCTGATGTTCAGGTGTATATCAGTATGTAGTGTCTCTACTTTAAAGAGTCCTCTCCTGCTGATGTTCAGGTGTATATCAGTATGTAGTGTCTCTACTTTAAAGAGTCCTCTCCTGCTGATGTTCAGGTGTATATCAGTATGTGGTGTCTCTACTTTAAAGAGTCCTCTCCTGCTCATTTATATATATATATAATATATATTTGTTGTTGTGATTTTACGTTTGTCCGTGTTCTTCAGGACTTCCTCTACGGTGGCTGTGTAGGACATGAAGTCTCCTTCTGCAGCTGCAGACTTCACCGTCACCCTATAGGCTGCAGGGAGACAAACAGGAAGTGTCTTTATATCGGATCATCTTGATTTATTTATTTATACATATGCACACATTAAGACAACAATCAATGTTTACAAAATAACAGTCACTTCAATATCTCTGAGAATGAGCATCAGTGCAAGACTGTCCATAGCAGCGTGACGTGTGTGTGTGTGTGTGTGTGTGTGTGTGTGTGTGTGTGTGTGAGTGTGTGTGTGTGTGTGTGTGTGTGTGTGGTGTGTGTGTGTGTGTGTGTGAGTGTGTGTGTGTGTGTGTGTGTGTGTGTGTGTGTGTGTGTGTGTGTGTGTGTGTGTGTGTGTGTGTGTCTCACCGTATGTAATGTGCGGCCTGCAGGTCTCCGCGGTGCGCTTGTTGACGGTCAGCGTGGGGTCCATGTTTCCTCTATAGGCGGCGCACGCAGCTGCAAAACAACATTTAATATACAACAATAATATATAATGTAATGTTTGCAGAACATAGAGACGGCACTGAGCCACAGCAGAGACCCTCTTTAAAGACCTATTACACACAAACAGAGGGTCTAAATACATAAAGTTGATTATCAATATTACAAAGAAAACAACCACAAGGAATCACTCTTAAAAATACATGTTTTTTAATAAATATGAACTTTTATCTCTTCTTTTATAACTTAATAAACGAGTTTCTATACAATGCATTCTCTTAAATCTTATTCTATTGATTATGATTATTAGATTTGGCTCAACACGTTTTTGAATTGGTATTGTCTTATAAAACACTTTGTAAACTAACTAACTAACTATTTAAATAAAGTGTATTATTATTATGACTCTGATCACCGGTGCTATCAGATGTTACCTGTCATGCACTGGCACTTCTCGTCCACACAGAGGCGCTGCAGCTTCTGCTGCTGGTAGGAAAACTGTCTGGTGCATTCACTGCCTGCGGGACAAAAGAGAGGTCCCAACATTTAATCTATCTCTTCAGTTTGATAAATAATTAAATAACAGATGTAAATAAAACTGTAACGTACCAGGTCACAATATTGACATAAGAAGTATAACACAAATTAAATGTTTGACTGATTAAAAACTACATATACAAATTATTTTCTGATAAAAGATGTATGTATTTATCAAAAGTGGGTCTTGTTTTGTGTCCGACTGAAGACTGAGAACTACAAACAGAGCTGACAAGGACTACAAATCCCAGCATGCACAGCAGGTCCTGACTGACCTTTGTCCTGAGGCTCGTAGACGCTGAACAGGGACTCGCTCGCCCCCCCCCACCCTGAAGCCCGTCCGGATACGGAAACCAACGCACAGGAAGTCCTCCGAAGGAACCTGACAGGAAGTCGTCACAAAATAAAAGATTCATTAGTGACGGTTAATGCTGTTACTAATCACCGATCACTTCATTATAGGACCTTTCAGAAACAAACAAATAAAGGGACGAAGAACACACAGAGAGACACAGAGACACACAGAGACACAAAGAGACACAAAGAGACACACAGAGACACACAGAGACACACAGAGACACACAGAGACACAAATAGACACACAGAGACACACAGAGACACACAAAGACACACAGAGACACACAGAGACACAAAGAGACACAAAGAGACACACAGAGACACACAGAGACACACAGAGAGACACAGAGACACAAATAGACACACAGAGACACACAGAGACACACAGACACACAGAGAGACACAGAGACACACAGACACACAGAGACACACAGAGACACAGAGACACACAGAGACACACAGAGACACAAAGACACACAGAGACACACAGAGACACACAGACACACAGAGACACACAGAGACACAGAGACACACAGACACACAGAGACACACAGAGACACACAGAGACACACAGAGAGACACAGAGAGACACAAAGACACACAGAGACACACAGAGACACACAGAGACACACAGAGACACACAGACACACACAGAGACACACAGAGACACACAGAGACACACAGAGAGACACAAAGACACACAGAGACACACAGAGACACAAAGAGACACAAAGAGACACACAGAGACACACAGAGACACACAGAGACACACAGAGACACACAGAGACACACAGAGAGACACAGAGACACAAATAGACACACAGAGACACACAGAGACACACAGAGACACACAGAGACACAAAGAGACACAAAGAGACACACAGAGACACACAGAGACACACAGAGAGACACAGAGACACAAATAGACACACAGAGACACACAGAGACACACAGACACACAGAGAGACACAGAGACACACAGACACACAGAGACACACAGAGACACAGAGACACACAGAGACACACAGAGACACAAAGACACACAGAGACACACAGAGACACACAGACACACAGAGACACACAGAGACACAGAGACACACAGACACACAGAGACACACAGAGACACAGAGACACACAGAGAGACACAGAGACACACAGAGACACAGACACACACAGAGACACACAGAGACACAGAGACACACACAGAGACACACAGAGACACACAGACACACAGAGACACACAGAGACACAGAGACACACACAGAGACACACAGAGACACACAGAGAGACACAGAGACACACAGAGACACACAGAGAGACACAGAGAGACACAAAGACACACAGAGACACACAGAGACACACAGAGACACACAGTGACACAAAGAGACACAAAGAGACACACAGAGACACAAAGAGACACAAAATGACTTCAAAGAGACACAACATTACATTTGAAAATGAAAAGTCAGCAATGTGCACATGTTGTTCAGTTGTGTGTCTCTCACTCACAGAGTCGGCCTGGATGATCACAGTGTTTCCTTGCAGCTCAAAGTGAGAGATGCTCGGCTCCTCGGAGTCTCTGAACTGAAACACAGCAGATCAAACAGTTCAAACATCACATCAACACTCCTGGAAAACAATCAAACACATCTCCTGGAAAACCATCAAACACAACTCATGGAAAACTATCAAACACATCTCCTGGAAAACCATCAAACACAACTCCTGGAAAACCATCAAACACAACTCATGGAAAACTATCAAACACATCTCCTGGAAAACCATCAAACACAACTCCTGGAAAACCATCAAACACAACTCCTGGAAAACCATCAAACACAACTCCTGGAAAACCATCAAACACAACTCCTGGAAAACCATCAAACACAACTCCTGGAAAACCATCAAACACATCTCCTGGAAAACCATCAAACACATCTCCTGGAAAACCATCAAACACATCTCCTGGAAAACCATCAAACACAACTCCTGGAAAACCATCAAACACATCTCCTGGAAAACCATCAAACACATCTCCTGGAAAACCATCAAACACAACTCCTGGAAAACCATCAAACACATCTCCTGGAAAACCATCAAACACAACTCCTGGAAAACCATCAAACACAACTCCTGGAAAACCATCAAACACAACTCCTGGAAAACCATCAAACACAACTCCTGGAAAACCATCAAACACATCTCCTGGAAAACCATCAAACACATCTCCTGGAAAACCATCAAACACAACTCCTGGAAAACAATCAAACACATCTCCTGGAAAACCATCAAACACAACTCATGGAAAACTATCAAACACATCTCCTGGAAAACCATCAAACACAACTCCTGGAAAACCATCAAACACAACTCATGGAAAACTATCAAACACATCTCCTGGAAAACCATCAAACACAACTCCTGGAAAACCATCAAACACAACTCCTGGAAAACCATCAAACACAACTCCTGGAAAACCATCAAACACAACTCCTGGAAAACCATCAACACAACCTCCTGGAAAACCATCAAACACAACTCCTGGAAAACCATCAAACACATCTCCTGGAAAACCATCAAACACATCTCCTGGAAAACCATCAAACACATCTCCTGGAAAACCATCAAACACAACTCCTGGAAAACCATCAAACACATCTCCTGGAAAACCATCAAACACATCTCCTGGAAAACCATCAAACACAACTCCTGGAAAACCATCAAACACATCTCCTGGAAAACCATCAAACACAACTCCTGGAAAACCATCAAACACATCTCCTGGAAAACCATCAAAGACAACGACTGGAAAACCATCAAACACATCTCCTGGAAAACCATCAAACACATCTCATGGAAAACCATCAAACACATCTCCTGGAAAACCATCAAACACAACTCCTGGAAAACTATCAAACACATCTCCTGGAAAACTATCAAAAACATCTCCTGGAAAACTATCAAACACATCTCCTGGAAAACTATTAAACACAACGACTGGAAAACTATCAAACACATGTCCTGGAAAACTATCAAACACATCTCCTGGAAAACCATCAAACACAACTCCTGGAAAACCATCAAACACATCTCCTGGAAAACCATCAAACACATCTCCTGGAAAACCATCAAACACATCTCCTGGAAAACCATCAAACACAACGACTGGAAAACCATCAAACACATCTCCTGGAAAACCATCAAACACATCTCATGGAAAACCATCAAACACATCTCCTGGAAAACCATCAAACACAACTCCTGGAAAACTATCAAACACATCTCCTGGAAAACCATCAAACACATCTCCTGGAAAACCATCAAACACATCTCCTGGAAAACCATCAAACACAACGACTGGAAAACAATCAAACACATCTCCTGGAAAACCATCAAACACATCTAATGGAAAACCATCAAACACATCTCCTGGAAAACCATCAAACACAACTCCTGGAAAACTATCAAACACATCTCCTGGAAAACTATCAAACACATCTCCTGGAAAACTATCAAACACATCTCCTGGAAAACTATCAAACACAACGACTGGAAAACTATCAAACACATCTCCTGGAAAACCATCAAACACAACTCCTGGAAAACTATCAAACACATCTCCTGGAAAACTATCAAACACATCTCCTGGAAAACTATCAAACACATCTCCTGGAAAACTATCAAACACAACGACTGGAAAACTATCAAACACATGTCCTGGAAAACTATCAAACACATGTCCTGGAAAACTATCAAACACAACGACTGGAAAAGTATCAAACACATGTCCTGGAAAACTATCAAACACAACGACTGGAAAACCATCAAACACATCTCCTGGAAAACTATCAAACACAAAGACTGGAATCTCTTATTGTGTAATAGTGAGTAAAGGCCTGTGACTCTCAGAAACACCTGGAGCCTCTCAGAAACACCTGGAGCCTCTCAGAAACACCTGGAGACTCTCTGAAACACCTGGAGACTCTCAGAAACACTCAGAAACACCTGGAGCCTCTCAGAAACACTCAGAAACACCTGGAGACTCTCAGAAACACCTGGAGACTCTCAGAAACACCTGGAGACTCTCAGAAACACCTGGAGACTCTCAGAAACACCTGGAGACTCTCAGAAACACTCAGAAACACCTGGAGCCTCTCAGATACACCTGGAGACTCTCAGAAACACCTGGAGACTCTCTGAAACACATGGAGCCTCTCAGAAACACTCAGAAACACCTGGAGCCTCTCAGATACACCTGGAGACTCTCTGAAACACCTGGAGCCTCTCAGAAACACCTGGAGCCTCTCAGAAACACCTGGAGACTCTCTGAAACACCTGGAGCCTCTCAGAAACACCTGGAGCCTCTCAGAAACACCTGGAGACTCTCAGAAACACCTGGAGACTCTCTGAAACACCTGGAGACTCTCGGAAACACCTGGAGCCTCTCAGAAACACCTGGAGACTCTCAGAAACACCTGGAGACTCTCAGAAACACCTGGAGACTCTCAGAAATACCTGGAGCCTCTCAGAAACACCTGGAGACTCTCAGAAACACCTGGAGACTCTCTGAAACACCTGAAGCCTCTCAGAAACACCTGGAGCCTCTCAGAAACACCTGGAGACTCTCAGAAACACCTGGAGACTCTCTGAAACACCTGGAGACTCTCAAACACCTGGAGACTCTCTGAAACACCTGGAGCCTCTCAGAAACACTCAGAAACACCTGGAGCCTCTCAGAAACACCTGGAGACTCTCAGAAACACCTGGAGACTCTCAGAAACACCTGGAGACTCTCAGAAACACCTGGAGACTCTCTGAAACACCTGGAGACTCTCGGAAACACCTGGAGCCTCTCAGAAACACCTGGAGACTCTCTGAAACACCTGGAGACTCTCTGAAACACCTGGAGCCTCTCAGAAACACTCAGAAACACCTGGAGCCTCTCAGAAACACCTGGAGACTCTCAGAAACACCTGGAGACTCCCAGAAACACCTGGAGCCTCTCAGACACACCTGGAGCCTCTCAGAAACACATGGAGACTCTCAGAAACACCTGGAGACTCTCAGAAACACCTGGAGACTCTCTGAAACACATGGAGCCTCTCAGAAACACTCAGAAACACCTGGAGCCTCTCAGAAACACCTGGAGACTCTCAGAAACACCTGGAGACTCTCTGAAACCCCTGGAGCCTCTCAGAAACACCTGGAGCCTCTCAGAAACACCTGGAGACTCTCAGAAACACCTGGAGCCTCTCAGAAACACCTGGAGACTCTCAGAAACACCTGGAGACTCTCTGAAACACCTGGAGACTCTCAAACACCTGGAGACTCTCTGAAACACCTGGAGCCTCTCAGAAACACTCAGAAACACCTGGAGCCTCTCAGAAACACCTGGAGCCTCTCAGAAACACCTGGAGACTCTCAGAAACACCTGGAGACTCTCTGAAACACCTGGAGACTCTCAGAAACACCTGGAGAGTCTCTGAAACACCTGGAGCCTCTCAGAAACACTCAGAAACACCTGGAGCCTCTCAGAAACACCTGGAGCCTCTCAGAAACACCTGGAGACTCTCAGAAACACCTGGAGACTCTCTGAAACACCTGGAGACTCTCGGAAACACCTGGAGACTCTCAGAAACACCTGGAGACTCTCAGAAACACCTGGAGACTCTCTGAAACACCTGGAGACTCTCAGAAACACTCAGAAACACCTGGAGCCTCTCAGAAACACCTGGAGCCTCCCTGAAACACCTGGAGACTCTCAAACACCTGGAGACTCTCTGAAACACCTGGAGCCTCTCAGAAACACTCAGAAACACCTGGAGCCTCTCAGAAACACCTGGAGACTCTCAGAAACACCTGGAGACTCTCAGAAACACCTGGAGACTCTCAGAAACACCTGGAGACTCTCTGAAACACCTGTAGACTCTCAGAAACACCTGGAGACTCTCTGAAACACCTGGAGCCTCTCAGAAACACTCAGAAACACCTGGAGCCTCTCAGAAACACCTGGAGACTCTCAGAAACACCTGGAGACTCTCTGAAACACCTGGAGCCTCTCAGAAACACTCAGAAACACCTGGAGCCTCTCGGAAACACCTGGAGACTCTCAGAAACACCTGGAGACTCTCAGAAACACCTGGAGACTCTCTGAAACACCTGGAGCCTCTCAGAAACACCGGCAGACTCTCGGAAACACCTGGAGCCTCACCTGTCTCAGGTCCTCCAGGAATGCCTCCACACCTGTGGGCAGCTGGATCTTCATCACCGTCAGACTGGACTCTGTGACCAACTCGTTGGGAGGAGGCTTATACCTGGAACCAATGAAAAGGGAATTTAAATTCATTTGATTTCCCTTAGCATAGTTTCTGAAGCTGTTCTGGACCGTTGGACCGTTGGAGCTCGTTAGCACCTGTCGGCCTCCGTACAACGGTATAACGACAGTGATCTTTTAAAAATCTTGTATTAGAGTTTCCTCACTTTGCACAGGCGACCAGGTGAGGAGCAGTCATGCCGGCATCTGAGGAGAGAAGAACACATCAACTCCCACACACTCTCCACGTTTTCCATGTTCTACAAATAAGTTGTTGTATTCAGTAACTGAGAAAATGAATCTCTTAATAAAATGTTAGTCACTATAAAATGGGTTTTATTCCAATAAAAAAGCTGTATAATGAAACTCTTTCTGTTGCTTTGCATCTCTTTCTCAGGAATGATTTTCCAGTAAATATTTCTGGAAAATGGGGTCAAGTCGTTTTAAATCTTGACACTCTTTAAAGACATCCAGACAGGCAACATGTGTTTGAAACTCCACCGCACGTCGACTGTAAATCAAATCAATGGTTCGCGTCGACGATACGTTATTAGTTTTTCCAATAAACTCCTGAAATGAGGACTTCTTATTAACCAGGTAGAACAAATGTAAGCTGTACTTTTTTTACCTTTTCACTCCAACTCTTTTGTCCAAAGACACCAGTGTGTTTCAGGGCTGAACATTCAACAATATGTTCCTACAGTCATTACTGTCTAAATATGATGGGGCTGCTGGGGCTTTCAGAAAACATTCACACAATGATATTTTCTATAAATAATCATCAGTTATGTGGATATAAATTCTAAGTACGTAAAGAAAAAATAATCTGGTAAATTCGTAAAGTTACGCTTTACTGGTTTAGACAATTTAGCAATATCACAATCTCCAAAATGTAATAAATAAACCATGATCTGTAACCAATTATATTTAAAAACCTGACCACCACGAGACGTCACAGGTGCATTAACCTAGTAATCTAACACCTTACTCCATGGTTACGTTGGGTTGTTATTAACGTGGTACTGTGATTGGAATAGAGTCATTAGAAGTTGTACTTGTGGAGTTGTTGGGGCCCACCACCTCGATAGTCAGGTGAAAGTTACAGTTCTGGGCCGGGGGGGTGGTCTCATAGTACACCGTCTTCAGCTGCAAGAACAATACCATGTTGTTATTCATGTTTAATCAATATGGATTTTTTATCATGGATCTCATGGCTGTGAAAAACCCTTATTGAAGTTATTAGGGCCTCAAGTTGTGAATGGTGCTTAAATCCAAATCCAGAGATATCAGTAGATATTCCCCTGGATCTAGGGAACATCTAGGGAACATCTAGGGAACATCTAGGGAACATCTAGGGAAGATCTAGGGAAGATCTAGGGAAGATCAAGGGAACATCTAGGGAACATCTAGGGAACATCTAGGGAACATCTAGGGAACATCTAGGGAACATTTAGGGAACATTTAGGGAACATCTAGGGAACATCTAGGGAACATCTATGGAACATCTAGGGAACATCTAGGGAAGATCTAGGGAAGATCAAGGGAACATCTAGGGAACATCTAGGGAACATCTAGGGAACATCTAGGGAACATCTAGGGAACATTTAGGGAACATCTAGGGAACATCTAGGGAAGATCGAAGGAATAATTAGGGTCAGATCTAGCTTAGATCTAGGGAAGATGCAGGAAAGATCAAGGGAAGATCAAGGGAAGATCAAGGGAAGATCTAGGGAAGATCAAGGGAAGATCAAGGGAAGATCTAGGGAAGATCAAGGGAAGATTTAGGAATGATCAAGGGAAGATTTAGGAATGATCAAGGGAAGATCAAGGGAAGATCAAGGGAAGATCTAGGGAAGATCAAGGGAAGATTTAGGAATGATCAAGGGAAGATTTAGGAATGATCAAGGGAAGATCAAGGGAAGATCTAGGGAAGATCTAGGGAAGATCAAGGGAAGATCAAGGGAAGATCTAGGGAAGATCAAGGGAAGATCTAGGGAAGATCAAGGGAAGATTTAGGAATGATCCAGGGAAGATTTAGGAATGATCAAGGGAAGATCAAGGGAAGATCTAGGGAAGATCTAGGGAAGATCAAGGGAAGATCTAGGGAAGATCAAGGGAAGATTTAGGAATGATCAAGGGAAGATCAAGGGAAGATCTAGGGAAGATCAAGGGAAGATTTAAGAATGATCAAGGGAAGATCTAGGGAAGATCAAGGGAAGATCTAGGGAAGATCAAGGGAAGATCTAGGGAAGATCTAGGGAAGATCAAGGGAAGATCAAGGGAAGATCTAAGGAAGATCAAGGGAAGATCAAGGGAAGATCAAGGGAAGATTTAGGAATGATCAAGGGAAGATCTAGGGAAGATCAAGGGAAGATCAAGGGAAGATTTAGGGAAGATCAAGGGAAGATTTAGGAATGATCAAGGGAAGATCTAGGGAAGATCTAGGGAAGATCAAGGGAAGATCAAGGGAAGATCAAGGGAAGATCTAGGGAAGATTTAGGAAAGATCAAGGGAAGATCAAGGGAAGATCAAGGGAAGATTTAGGGAAGATCAAGGGAAGATTTAGGAATGATCAAGGGAAGATCAAGGGAAGATCTAGGGAAGATCAAGGGAAGATCAAGGGAAGATCAAGGGAAGATTTAGGGAAGATTTAGGAAAGATCAAGGGAAGATCAAGGGAAGATTTAGGAAAGATCAAGGGAAGATCTAGGGAAGATCAAGGGAAGATCAAGGGAAGATCAAGGGAAGATCTAGGGAAGATTTAGGAAAGATCAAGGGAAGATCTAGGGAAGATTTAGGGAAGATCAAGGGAAGATTTAGGAATGATCAAGGGAAGATCTAGGGAAGATCTAGGGAAGATCTAGGGAAGATCAAGGGAAGATCTAGGGAAGATCAAGGGAAGATCAAGGGAAGATTTAGGGAAGATCAAGGGAATATTTAGGAATGATCAAGGGAAGATCTAGGGAAGATCAAGGGAAGATCTAGGGAAGATCTAGGGAAGATCTATGGAAGATCAAGGGAAGATCTAGGGAAGATCAAGGGAAGATCTAGGGAAGATCAAGGGAAGATCAAGGGAAGATCAAGGGAAGATCTAGGGAAGATCAAGGGAAGATCAAGGGAAGATCTAGGGAAGATCTAGGGAAGATCAAGGGAAGATCAAGGGAAGATTTAGGAATGATCAAGGGAAGATCTAGGGAAGATCTAGGGAAGATCTAGGCAAGATCTAGGAATGATCAAGGGAAGATTTAGGAATGATCAAGGGAAGATCTAGGGAAGATCTAGGAATGATCAAGGGAAGATTTAGGAATGATCAAGGGAAGATCTAGGAATGATCAAGGGAAGATTTAGGAATGATCAAGGGAAGATCTAGGAATGATCAAGGGAAGATCAAGGGAAGATTTAGGAAAGAATGAATGAATGTTTAAGTGTGTTTAAATGTAAGAAGTGTCCTCTGTATTAAACCCCACCTTTACATTGGACACGCCCCTCCCGTAACCCGTGGACACGGTGATGGCGTCCTCCTTCGTCACCTGGGAAACAGGAAGACAGTCAGAGTCTTATCATGGTTTATGGCAGTTTGAGACATGTTCTGGTTCTCTGAGGGCAAACAGCTGCAACTGTCTCTCTCTCTTGAGTCTGTCTCTCTCTCTCTAGAGTCTGTCTCTCTCTCTCTAGAGTCTGTCTCTCTCTCTAGAGTCTGTCTCTCTCTCTAGAGTCTGTCTCTCTCTCTCTAGAGTCTGTCTCTCTCTCTCTTGAGTCTGTCTCTCTCTCTAGAGTCTGTCTCTCTCTCTTGAGTCTGTCTCTCTCTCTAGAGTCTGTCTCTCTCTCTAGAGTCTGTCTCTCTCTCTCTAGAGTCTGTCTCTCTCTCTCTTGAGTCTGTCTCTCTCTCTAGAGTCTGTCTCTCTCTCTTGAGTCTGTCTCTCTCTCTAGAGTCTGTCTCTCTCTCTAGAGTCTGTCTCTCTCTCTAGAGTCTGTCTCTCTCTCTCTAGAGTCTGTCTCTCTCTCTAGAGTCTGTCTCTCTCTCTTGAGTCTGTCTCTCTCTCTAGAGTCTGTCTCTCTCTCTCTTGAGTCTGTCTCTCTCTCTCTAGAGTCTGTCTCTCTCTCTTGAGTCTGTCTCTCTCTCTAGAGTCTGTCTCTCTCTCTTGAGTCTGTCTCTCTCTCTCTAGAGTCTGTCTCTCTCTCTCTGAGTCTGTCTCTCTCTCTCTCTCTCTCTTGAGTCTGTCTCTCTCTCTCTTGAGTCTGTCTCTCTCTCTTGAGTCTGTCTCTCTCTCTTGAGTCTGTCTCTCTCTCTAGAGTCTGTCTCTCTCTCTTGAGTCTGTCTCTCTCTCTCTTGAGTCTGTCTCTCTCTCTTGAGTCTGTCTCTCTCTCTCTTGAGTCTGTCTCTCTCTCTTGAGTCTGTCTCTCTCTCTCTTGAGTCTGTCTCTCTCTCTTGAGTCTGTCTCTCTCTCTCTTGAGTCTGTCTCTCTCTCTTGAGTCTGTCTCTCTCTCTCTAGAGTCTGTCTCTCTCTCTTGAGTCTGTCTCTCTCTCTTGAGTCTGTCTCTCTCTCTCTTGAGTCTGTCTCTCTCTCTCTTGAGTCTGTCTCTCTCTCTTGAGTCTGTCTCTCTCTCTCTAGAGTCTGTCTCTCTCTCTTGAGTCTGTCTCTCTCTCTTGAGTCTGTCTCTCTCTCTTGAGTCTGTCTCTCTCTCTCTAGAGTCTGTCTCTCTCTCTTGAGTCTGTCTCTCTCTCTCTTGAGTCTGTCTCTCTCTCTCTTGAGTCTGTCTCTCTCTCTTGAGTCTGTCTCTCTCTCTCTAGAGTCTGTCTCTCTCTCTTGAGTCTGTCTCTCTCTCTTGAGTCTGTCTCTCTCTCTCTAGAGTCTGTCTCTCTCTCTTGAGTCTGTCTCTCTCTCTCTAGAGTCTGTCTCTCTCTCTCTAGAGTCTGTCTCTCTCTCTCTTGAGTCTGTCTCTCTCTCTCTAGAGTCTGTCTCTCTCTCTCTTGAGTCTGTCTCTCTCTCTCTTGAGTCTGTCTCTCTCTCTAGAGTCTGTCTCTCTCTCTCTTGAGTCTGTCTCTCTCTCTTGAGTCTGTCTCTCTCTCTTGAGTCTGTCTCTCTCTCTTGAGTCTGTCTCTCTCTCTAGAGTCTGTCTCTCTCTCTTGAGTCTGTCTCTCTCTCTCTTGAGTCTGTCTCTCTCTCTCTTGAGTCTGTCTCTCTCTCTCTAGAGTCTGTCTCTCTCTCTAGAGTCTGTCTCTCTCTCTCTTGAGTCTGTCTCTCTCTCTTGAGTCTGTCTCTCTCTCTAGAGTCTGTCTCTCTCTCTTGAGTCTGTCTCTCTCTCTAGAGTCTGTCTCTCTCTCTTGAGTCTGTCTCTCTCTCTCTTGAGTCTGTCTCTCTCTCTCTTGAGTCTGTCTCTCCCTCTCTTGAGTCTGTCTCTCTCTCTCTTGAGTCTGTCTCTCTCTCTCTTGAGTCTGTCTCTCTCTCTCTTGAGTCTGTCTCTCTCTCTCTTGAGTCTGTCTCTCTCTCTCTTGAGTCTGTCTCTCTCTCTCTTGAGTCTGTCTCTCTCTCTTGAGTCTGTCTCTCTCTCTTGAGTCTGTCTCTCTCTCTCTTGAGTCTGTCTCTCTCTCTTGAGTCTGTCTCTCTCTCTCTTGAGTCTGTCTCTCTCTCTTGAGTCTGTCTCTCTCTCTCTTGAGTTTGTCTCTCTCTCTTGAGTCTGTCTCTCTCTCTTGAGTCTGTCTCTCCCTCTCTTGAGTCTCTCTTGAGTCTGTCTCTCTCTCTCTTGAGTCTGTCTCTCTCTCTTGAGTCTGTCCCCCTTCTTGCACCTGTCCCCCCCCCCCCTCCTTACCTGTCCCCCTCCCCCACCCCCCCTCACCTGGATGGGCGTGGCCACAGGACGGCTCTGGCTCAGTTGAACTCGTCCCAGCGGTCCCTTCCTGCCGTAACGAACATTAATGTCCTGATTGAGGACGGCTCGAGGGACGACTCTGCTGTACTCAGTGAGAGACTCCAGAGTCAACACGGTGTCCTGAGAGACAGGTGAGAGACAGACAGGTGAGAGACAGACAGGTGAGAGACAGACAGGTGAGAGACAGACAGGTGAGAGACAGACAGGTGAGAGACAGGTGAGAGACAGGTGAGAGACAGACAGGTGAGAGACAGGTGAGACAGACAGGTGAGAGACAGACAGGTGAGAGACAGACAGGTGAGAGACAGACAGGTGAGAGACAGACAGGTGAGAGACAGACAGGTGAGAGACAGGTAGACAGATATTTTCTTATGTTTCACCTTTAAACAAATTAACAAAATTACTGCAGTGTGAATTTTGAGGGAAGATCCAGGTAAGTATAGGTGTGTGTGTGTGTGTGTGTGTGTGTGTGTGTGTGTGTGTGTGTGTGTTTGTGAGTGTGTGTGTGTGTGTGTGTGTGTGTGTGTGTGTGTGTGTGTGTGTGTGTGTGTGTGTGTGTTTACCTGTACCGAGTAGAAACCCTCTCCGTAGTGCTGATCCTGGGTCAGCCATGCCAGGATGGGGTTGGCGTAAGGAATCCTCCCCTTCAACAAAAACAACATTTAAAACCAATAATACAAATATCTGCGTTAGACCAGAGGCCTGCACTACGAAGCCGGATGTTCTCTTAGCTGACTTCAGGGTAAACTCTGGGTTTCCGGTCCTACGACGCTGGTTCTCTTTTTAGCGGGCTAGATCTCCATGGTAACTTATGCTGAGCGGCTAACCTGTTCCGGAGCAGGTTAGGTTGCAGGCTAAGAGATCAACTCAGTGAAAGCACCGCCTGCTGACCAATCAGAGCTCAGTGTGCGGAGTTTAAAGCGATCAAGTCATATTACAGGATAGAGGAAATACAGAAAAACTGCCGTTGCAGGAAAGACGGCCGGCAAAAATCAACTGACTGTGTGAACGTGAACATTAATAGAATATCCCCTCCCATCTTCAGAGCAATCTGACTATTATAACATTAGCGTTAAGAAAGCTTACTTAAATATCTGCCACAACATAAGTAACCGGATCAGAGTAACATTAAGTACAGTCCGCGGCACTGTGAGTGCAGACGTTGATGTGTCCCATTATCATTCATATCATATCACATCATAATGTATCATATATCTCCTTATCTGAGTCAGCTGAGCCGTATCTGGCCGTGCAACACTCACAGTGTCACATACTGGATGCAGAAGTATTATTTTAAGCAACACATTAAGTTGATGAAACACTGGACTCAAATGTAATTAAAGTCAGATCGTGTCTTAGACGGGGCAGTGATATCATAAACCTGTTAATGTACGCATTCAAACACTTTCTCTGTTACCAGCTGTATTCACCTTGCAGGTGCAGCTATGTGGCTTTGATCCTGGATAAAGTGTTTAAGTCATGGATGTTTAAAGTTTAACTTCTTCATATTTGACTAATATTAAAGTTCACTTTTCATTCAGGAAGTATGACACTGCGCTGTCAGTACGCTTGTCCATGTTTGTGATTGGTCGAATGCTCCAAATACCACCCCTTTCATGTGAACGCGCACCTAACTAGATAGGACACGGCTGGCTTGAGCGATCCACTTGATAACCAGCGTCGTAGGACAGCTTAGCGAGAGCGCGTATGTTTTGGATTGGGCCAACCGGCTAACTCCAACATATCCAGGTTAGGTTGAACCAGCTTCGTAGTACAGGCCTCTGGTAAGCTATTGTTGTTGTTGTTGCTGTTGTTGTTTATAAATAAATAAAAGCACCTTGAGCAGCACGGTCAGCAGGACGTACGCCGTGGTCTCCACCGTCAGACCGCTGGATTCGTCGGGTTTCAGCCAATCAGCTGCCACGCTGGCCTCCTGCCAATACCTGAGCTCTGCCGGGTGACCTGCACACACACACACACACACACACACACACACGCGCACACACTTTAAACAACACATTCAAAAGTGTGTGTGTGTGTGTGTGTGTGTGTGTGTGTGTGTGTGTGTGTGTGCGTGCGTGCGTGCGTGCGTGCGTGCGTGCGTGCGTGCGTGCGTGCGTGCGTGCGTGCGTGCGTGCGTGCGTGCGTGCGTGTGTGTGTGTGTCACCTTTGTCTCTTGCCAGTTTCTCCAGACTGACCATCAGCTCGGAGGCTATGGGGCTGCTGGCGTCTCGCAGCGTCAGAGCAAAGGTCGCCACGGCACGCACATACACACTCTTTACCCGAGGGGCATGCTGGGTAATGTAGTTCACTGCAGACATCATGCTGTCACCGTGGAACTGAGAGGGGAGAGAGAGAGATTTAAAACTCAGGAGGAAGAGGAGGAGGAAGAGGATGATGATGATGATGAAGATGAAGAGTAGTTCTGACCCTGAGCTGCAGTATTGGGTCTTTGATGCTCGTGGCTCGATGCAGAGAGATCAGCACGAAGGAGGTCAGATAAACGGACCTATCGAGAGCAGGCGTCCCTTCAGCCTGCAGCCAATCAGAAGACAGCATTTAGATCATTATAAACATCTTATCCAAAGATTCAAAATAATATAATATAATATATGGTTCTGACCATGACTCTGTTGGGTCTGACAGTATCATATGGTTCTGACGATGACTCTGTTGGGTCTGACAGTATCATATGGTTCTGACCATGACTCTGTTGGGTCTGACAGTATAACATATGGTTCTGACCATGACTCTGTTGGGTGTGACAGTATAACATATGGTTCTGACCATGACTCTGTTGGGTCTGACAGTATAATATGGTTCTGACCAGGACTCTGTTGGGTCTGACAGTATAATATGGTTCTGACCATGACTCTGTTGGGTCTGACAGTATAATATGGCGGTTCTGACCATGACTCTGTTGGGTCTGACAGTATAACATATGGTTCTGACCATGACTCTGTTGGGTCTGACAGTATAATATATGGTTCTGACCAGGACTCTGTTGGGTCTGACAGTATAATATGGTTCTGACCATGACTCTGTTGGGTCTGACAGTATAATATGGCGGTTCTGACCATGACTCTGTTGGGTCTGACAGTATAATATGGTTCTGACCATGACTCTGTTGGGTCTGACAGTATAATATGGCGGTTCTGACCAGGACTCTGTTGGGTCTGACAGTATAATATGGTTCTGACCATGACTCTGTTGGGTCTGACAGTATAATATGGTTCTGACCATGACTCTGTTGGGTCTGACAGTATAATATGGTTCTGACCATGACTCTGTTGGGTCTGACAGTATAATATGGTGGTTCTGACCATGACTCTGTTGGGTCTGACAGTATAATATGGTTCTGACCATGACTCTGTTGGGTCTGACAGTATAATATGGGTCTGACCATGACTCTGTTGGGTCTGACAGTATAATATGGTTCTGACCATGACTCTGTTGGGTCTGACAGTATAATATGGTTCTGACCAGGACTCTGTTGGGTCTGACAGTATAATATGGTTCTGACCATGACTCTGTTGGGTCTGACAGTATAATATGGTTCTGACCATGACTCTGTTGGGTCTGACAGTATAATATGGTTCTGACCATGACTCTGTTGGGTCTGACAGTATAATATGGTTCTGACCATGACTCTGTTGGGTCTGATAGTATAATATGGTTCTGACCAGGACTCTGTTGGGTCTGACAGTATAATATGGTTCTGACCATGACTCTGTTGGGTCTGACAGTATAATATGGTTCTGACCATGACTCTGTTGGGTCTGACAGTATAATATGGTTCTGACCATGACTCTGTTGGGTCTGACAGTATAATATGGTTCTGACCATGACTCTGTTGGGTCTGACAGTATATCATATGGTTCTGACCATGACTCTGTTGGGTCTGACAGTATAATATGGTTCTGACCATGACTCTGTTGGGTCTGACAGTATAATATGGTTCTGACCATGACTCTGTTGGGTCTGACAGTATAATATGGTTCTGACCAGGACTCTGTTGGGTCTGACAGTATAATATGGTTCTGACCATGACTCTGTTGGGTCTGACAGTATAATATGGTTCTGACCATGACTCTGTTGGGTCTGACAGTATAATATGGTTCTGACCATGACTCTGTTGGGTCTGACAGTATAATATGGTTCTGACCATGACTCTGTTGGGTCTGACAGTATAATATGGTTCTGACCAGGACTCTGTTGGGTCTGACAGTATAATATGGTTCTGACCATGACTCTGTTGGGTCTGACAGTATAATATGGTTCTGACCATGACTCTGTTGGGTCTGACAGTATAATATGGTTCTGACCAGGACTCTGTTGGGTCTGACAGTATAATATGGTTCTGACCATGACTCTGTTGGGTCTGACAGTATAATATGGTTCTGACCATGACTCTGTTGGGTCTGACAGTATAATATATGGTTCTGACCATGACTCTGTTGGGTCTGACAGTATAATATGGCGGTTCTGACCATGACTCTGTTGGGTCTGACAGTATAATATGGCGGTTCTGACCAGGACTCTGTTGGGTCTGACAGTATCATATGGTTCTGACCATGACTCTGTTGGGTCTGACAGTATCATATGGTTCTGACCATGACTCTGTTGGGTCTGACAGTATAATATGGTTCTGACCAGGACTCTGTTGGGTCTGACAGTATAATATGGTTCTGACCATGACTCTGTTGGGTCTGACAGTATAATATGGCGGTTCTGACCATGACTCTGTTGGGTCTGACAGTATAATATGGTTCTGACCATGACTCTGTTGGGTCTGACAGTATAATATGGTTCTGACCATGACTCTGTTGGGTCTGACAGTATAACATATGGTTCTGACCATGACTCTGTTGGGTCTGACAGTATCATATGGTTCTGACCATGACTCTGTTGGGTCTGACAGTATAATATGGCGGTTCTGACCATGACTCTGTTGGGTCTGACAGTATAATATGGTTCTGACCATGACTCTGTTGGGTCAGACAGTATAACATATGGTTCTGACCATGACTCTGTTGGGTCTGACAGTATCATATGGTTCTGACCATGACTCTGTTGGGTCTGACAGTATAATATGGCGGTTCTGACCATGACTCTGTTGGGTCTGACAGTATAATATGGTTCTGACCATGACTCTGTTGGGTCTGACAGTATAATATGGCGGTTCTGACCATGACTCTGTTGGGTCTGACAGTATAATATGGTTCTGACCATGACTCTGTTGGGTCTGACAGTATAACATATGGTTCTGACCATGACTCTGTTGGGTCAGACAGTATAACATATGGTTCTGACCATGACTCTGTTGGGTCTGACAGTATCATATGGTTCTGACCATGACTCTGTTGGGTCTGACAGTATAATATGGTTCTGACCATGACTCTGTTGGGTCTGACAGTATAATATGGTTCTGACCAGGACTCTGTTGGGTCTGACAGTATAATATGGTTCTGACCATGACTCTGTTGGGTCTGACAGTATAATATGGTTCTGACCATGACTCTGTTGGGTCTGACAGTATAATATGGTTCTGACCATGACTCTGTTGGGTCTGACAGTATCATATGGTTCTGACCATGACTCTGTTGGGTCTGACAGTATAATATGGTTCTGACCAGGACTCTGTTGGGTCTGACAGTATATCATATGGTTCTGACCATGACTCTGTTGGGTCTGACAGTATAACATATGGTTCTGACCATGACTCTGTTGGGTCTGACAGTATAATATGGTTCTGACCATGACTCTGTTGGGTCTGACAGTATAATATATGGTTCTGACCATGACTCTGTTGGGTCTGACAGTATAACATATGGTTCTGACCATGACTCTGTTGGGTCTGACAGTATATCATATGGTTCTGACCATGACTCTGTTGGGTCTGACAGTATAATATGGTTCTGACCATGACTCTGTTGGGTCTGACAGTATAATATATGGTTCTGACCATGACTCTGTTGGGTCTGACAGTATAACATATGGTTCTGACCATGACTCTGTTGGGTCTGACAGTATATCATATGGTTCTGACCATGACTCTGTTGGGTCTGACAGTATATCATATGGTTCTGACCATGACTCTGTTGGGTCTGACAGTATAACATATGGTTCTGACCATGACTCTGTTGGGTCTGACGGAGGACGGGTCTCTGAAGGATCCGTCCTGCTGCTGCTGGTCTCGGATCAGCCAGGAAACGGACTCTGAGAGCTTCTGGTGGTCCACAGACACCACGGGGTCCACCAGAGAGAGGGTCCGCACCACCAGGGCCGTCAGCCTAAAGACACGAAGCATTAACACATGTTGATGTAGAAGAGACATGAAGAAGAGGGGACACATGTTGATGTAGAAGAGACATGAAGAAGAGGGGACACATGTTGATGTAGAAGAGACATGAAGAAGAGGGGACACATGTTGATGTAGAAGAGACATGAAGAAGAGGGGACACATGTTGATGTAGAAGAGACGTGAAGAAGAGGGGACACATGTTGATGTAGAAGAGACATGAAGAAGAGGGGACACATGTTGATGAAGAAGAGACATGAAGAAGAGGGGACACATGTTGATGTAGAAGAGACATGAAGAAGAGGGGACACATGTTGATGTAGAAGAGACATGAAGAAGAGGGGACACATGTTGATGTAGAAGAGACATGAAGAAGAGGGGGGACATGTTGATGAAGAAGAGACATGAAGAAGAGGGGACACATGTTGATGTAGAAGAGACATGAAGAAGAGGGGACACATGTTGATGTAGAAGAGACATGAAGAAGAGGGGACACATGTTGATGTAGAAGAGACATGAAGAAGAGGGGACACATGTTGATGTAGAAGAGACATGAAGAAGAGGGGACACATGTTGATGTAGAAGAGACATGAAGAAGAGGGGACACATGTTGATGAAGAAGAGACATGAAGAAGAGGGGACACATGTTGATGAAGAAGAGACATGAAGAAGAGGGGACACATGTTGATGAAGAAGAGACATGAAGAAGAGGGGACACATGTTGATGAAGAAGAGACATGAAGAAGAGGGGACACATGGTGATGTAGAAGAGACGTGAAGAAGAGGGGACACATGTTGATGTAGAAGAGACGTGAAGAAGAGGGGACACATGTTGATGAAGAAGAGACATGAGGAAGAGGGGACACATGGTGATGTAGAAGAGACGTGTGTGTGTGTGTGTGTGTGTGTGTGTATAAACAATGATCTGAAGCTGGGTGATGAAGAGGTTTGAATGTGTGTGTTCTCACCAGGTGCTGGGTTCTCTCTTAACCCACATGCTGTAGCTCGAGTCTCCTCTGAATGAACTGATTGCAACCAGACCTAAACACACACACACACACACACACACACACACACACACACACACACACACACACACACACACACACACACACACACACACACACACACACACACACACACACACGTCAGAACAAAATAACACTAAATTCTGAAAGAAAGTCAGAATTCTTAAAAAAAAGTCAAAACCGAATTTTGAGAATATTAAAAAAGTAACATCTCTTAAAAAAATTCAGAACAAATGTTCTGAGAATAATTTTGAAAAAAAAAAGTCTTTTTTGGAAAAAAATGCAGAATTCTGAAAAATAAATAAAAAGCCTAAAATTCTAAACAGAATTCTGTTTATTTTTGTATTCTTTAAAAAAGTGAATATGTGTTCGGCTCACCCTCTGTGATGGTCCTCCTCAGGTCCGCAGAGCTCTTCTCGATGTCTCCTCCCAGCGCCTCCCAGCGCCGGCTGCTCTCCAGGTAAAGATACAACTGAGACCGCAGCAGCAGCCCCCCCGCCTCCATCTCACCTGAGCCCGCCGGCAGGTTGATCAGCTGGCGCAGGCCCTGGGGGGAGTGCATCACCGACAGGAAGTCCCCCAGGACCTCACCTGGGGGACAATAGGTGAGACAGTACTTTCTTTTAATCTCTTAATGTTTGGAAATCCTGAATGTCCTCTTCCAACATGAGAGTAGCATGCTAAACTGTAGCTGTGAACATGACAGGATGTGTGATTACCTAGAAGAGCATCAGGACTGTTTGAGGCATATGATAGCTATGTGATGAACATGATGATTCAGCCTCTATGGAGATAGACATGTGACAAGCATACTCATTTCTGACGTGGAGCTAATCTGAAGTAAACATTGAATACTGCTTTCTATCCCTCCATCTTGTGACTGTGTAACTCCCTCTCTTGGATATCAGCATGTGAAGGACACTGTTCAGGAACTAGTTGATGCTCTGTATGTGATGACTACTTCCATTCTGGAGAGGATCACAGATACATGGATCCTGAGATTGAAGCTCAAGACAGTGATTATTAACATTTTTAAGTATTCAGAAAAAGTCATATTTTTGAGATTTTGAGAAAAAGTCAGAATTTTGAGAAAAAGTCAGAATTTTGAGAAAAGTCAGAATTTTGCGATTTTGAGAAAAAGTCAACATTTTGAGAAAAGGTCAGAATTTTTGAGAAAAAGTCAGAATTTTGAGAAAAAGTCAGAATTTTGAGAAAAAGTCAGAATTTTGAGAAAAAGTCAGAATTTTGAGAAAAAGTCAGAATTTTGAGAAAAAGTCAACATTTTGAGAAAAAGTCAACATTTTGAGAAAAAGTCAACATTTGGAGATTTTGGAGAAAAAGTCAAAATGTTGAGAAAATGTCGAGATTTTGAGAAAAAAGCCTACATTTTGAAAGTAAACTCAGTTTTCTAACAGTGTATAAATTAAGATGAATGTGAGGCAGTTTATGTTTATTTAGGATCCCCAGTAGCTTTTGCTCTTGACAAAAGCTACTCTTCCTGGGGCACTTAAAACAATACAACAATAATACAACAATAATACAACAACATTCAAGACATAACTCCTGACATCATCAACAACATCACCAATATCATCAACAATTTCCAACATCATCAACAATCTCATCCACTTTCAATATCAATCTCAGCCAAGGGTGAGTGCACAAGACACCCACCAGCACCAAGCATGAGATCACATTAAACTAGGGTTCACAGTTCACAGGGCACATGCTCATTAGTAGATGGCCCTTCAATCTCTTGTTGAAAGAGGCTCTGGACTCGATGTCAGCGAGGTGGTTTGGCAATGAGTTCCTTTATAGCTCTATAAGTCACAGAAGGTTCCAGAAGATGTGTCCTGGGTTTAGGTGCCCGGAGATGGCCTGATGTAGCTTGTCTAGTCCTATGGTCGTGCTCGTCTCTTGAGTAAACTGTTTGATCATAAAAATACAGTGTTTTTTTGCTAAATTGGAAAAAAATTTGAAAAGTGATAACATGAGATTGCAGACGTTTCTCAACTGGAAGCCATGATAGGTTTCTATACATAACTCCAATATGAGTGCGCTTCGAACATTGGAGAGCGAGTCTGGCAGCCTTGTTTTGAGCTATTTGTAATTTCTGTATGTGTGTTTTTGCTGCTGATGACCATATGACCAGACAGTACTCAAGATGTGACAAAACCAGAGACTGAATGACTTGTTTCAAAGTGGTTGGTGTTACATACTTTGTACATTTTCTCGTCACAGCTATGCTCCTTCCCATTTTAGTTACGATACTGTCTATTTGCTTTGTCCACTGTAAACCAGAATCAAGAACAATGCCAAGCAACTTAGTCTCTTTACCTGTTCCACTGGCTGAGCAGCCCGAGTCAGGCTCAACTGAGGATTGCTGCTTAACATGTGTCTGGATCCGAACACCATAGCTGTTGTTTTTGCAATGTTGAGTAGCAGTCTGCTATTGTTGACCCAGTCTGCTATGGCTTTCATCTCTATTTGAAGTAGATAGTGTAACTCACTGCATGTTGATGCTGTACTGTACATTGTGGAATCATCAGCATACATTATTACACTGGACTTCTTTAATACGTAAGGAAGGCCATTTGTGAATATAGAATACAACAAAGGCCCAAGCGAGCTCCCCTGTGGGACCCCACACTGCAACGCCTTACTTTCAGAAAAGCTCCCATTGAAAAAGCCTCGCTGCCTTCTCCTCGTCAGGTAGCTCTCCATCCAACACATAGCAACAGAACCAAAGCCATAGCATTTGAGTTTGTTCAGCAGCAGACTGTGATCGATCACATCGGAAGCTGCGCTAAAGTCTAACATGACAGCTCCTACAAGCCTCCTATCATCCGTGCTCTTGAACCAGTCGTCGGTCATTTGTGCAAGTGCTGTACTTGTAGAGTGACCATCTCTATAGGCATGTTGGTAGTTCCTTGTCAGATTGTTACTTGCAAAGTAGTATTGAATTTGGGTGTATACTATTTTTTCTATGAATTGACTTAACACTGGGAGGAGACTTATAGGTCGACTATTGGAACCAGCAAAGGTCTTTCTTTTCTCCTTGGGTAATGGGATAACCTTGGCTTCCTTCCAGATCTCGGGGCACACGCCTTGCTCTAGACTTTTATAAAAAATGTGACTCAATGGCTTGGATATGTATTTGGCCGTCATTTTGAGCAGTTTACCATCCAAATTGTTAATGTATGTTGAAAATATGCTTTTACATACATTAACAATTTGGATGGTAAACTGCTCAAAATGACGGCCAAATACATATCCAAGCCATTGAGTCACATTTTTTATAAAAGTTCGTGTCACTGTAACATTGTGGAATTCAAACATGCACTGCTTTCCCCTCATGATACGATCTTTAATGATGTGATGTGACACTGTGTCCTCGACTGCACCCATGGCATTCCTCAGCTTGTCTACTTATTTGTAAAATAATCATTAAAATGATTTGCAATATCTGCTGGCTTGGTAATGAATTGACCCTCGGTTTCTATAAAGGAAAGGCAGTCATTATTATTATTATGACATGTCACTTGTTAGACGCTTTTATCCAAAGCGACTTACATACTCAACACTGTGGGCAATCCCCACAGGAGCACTTTGGGGTGAAGTGTCTTGCCCAGGGACACAACGACATGCTGACTGCAGAGGGGTTTGAACCTGTGCCCCCCTGGTCCCAACACCAACGCACAACCCACTGCGCCACACGCCTCCCTCTCTCATTAATGAGAGAGGAACACAATGGCGTTACTTCCTTCCTCTCCACCTGAACCCTCACCATTGATAGTGATCATCCTCTCCACAGCCGTGTTGGGAACAATGTTGGTGGGAAGTTTGTTCCTCAGCTCCACGACTCTCTTCTCTGAACCTGAAGAACACAGAGAGGAGTGACTCCGACGCTCAAGAGCTACAAAAAACAACCACAAAGAGGCACTGAAAGGGTCTGAACATCTATAGAGAGGCGAAGTCCCTCCCCTTCCGGTGGACCTCCATGGGACCTTATTTCGGAAAAAGTATGTATTGAAGTCAATGGAGAGAGAAAGATTATCTTTCGATCCCGTTTGAATTGTGCCACGAATTACACATATGATGTTTGTCAATTTAAAAGATAATTTTGCAAGTAAAAAAATAAAAATGTGTCGTAAAACTGTGAAGTAACACATTTGTTTGTGTGAAACGCTCAATGAACTACATCTCTGGTCAACAACACACGTCACCAAGATGGCCGTCACTACTGTCTTGTCAACAAAACGATTGACTACCCTCACTATCACCCTCTCACCCTGACCCTCACCCTGACCCTCACCCTGACCCTCACCCTCACTATCACCACAATGAAACACGTCCTGAAGAATGTCATGCAAAGCTGCCTGCCTGCCTTCCTTTGATTCTCTCTGAACTGCCTGGTCGTTTTAATGTTTAATGTCAACCATTTGTGCAGATAGCATGAAGTAGAGAAGATCGCCGATGCTAACGTTAGCGTTAGCAATTCTCCCCCGGGCTTAAATGGTGTATTATAGAATGATCACACCGGTGACAGTACTCTTCAAAGGGTTCACGAAATATGACTACTACTCTTACTGTTTAACATGTTGGGTTACTTAATGTTACTTCATGTTAAGGCTAATAAAAATGACAAGGCTGTAATGCTAACTAACGTGCTAGCTACTAGCTAGCTTGATCCAGACACTCCTGGTCCTTTCATCAGATGGGAAGCGAAAGAACGAGCAAGACCCATTGCTGGTATGATAACAGCCTGGTACTAAGCACACAGGCATCTTGTTAAAGTTATCTTATCTTAGCCAGCGCCATATAGATAGATTATATCTATATGGCGCTGATCTTAGCTATCTCTTACTGGAGGAAAACAATTGTGACATCACTTACGCGACTCTGGGATTTGTAGTCTTTCTAGTTACGTATTTTTCATAGTCTTATATTTCAACAGTTTTACGACAAACTGTGACTTTTTTGACATGGAAATGATTTTTTAAGATTGACAAACATCATATGTGTAATTCATGGCACAATTCAAACGGGATCCAAAGATACGTTTTCTCTCTCCATTGACTTCAATGCATAATTTTTCCAAAATAAGGTCCCATGGGGCGGAAGTAGATGGGCGTGACTTCGCCACTCTATACAGTGTGTGTGTGTGTGTGCGTGTGTGCGTGCGTGCGTGTGTGTGTGTGTGTGTGTGTGTGTGTGTGTGTGTGTGTGTGTGTGTCTGTGTCTGTGTGTTCAGTAAATGTACCATAGAGTCCCTGGGGGTCCAGCCTTCCTCCAGAAAACACCTCCTTCTTCATTCCTTCAGGCTGGAAACATAAATATCAAGGTGAGCTTCCTGCTTTTCAATAGGCGCTTTCACACCGGAGTACTTTTCCCAGTATAGTTCCGATAGTTCTTGAAATTTAGCGTTCACACCAAAAAAATACGGAACTAGAACTTAGTTCACGAGAACCTTTTCACACCCTTTTCAGTCCCTGCTAGAGAGCAGGTACTTTCATGGGAGAAAAAGGTTCCCATTTCTGATTGGCTGGGCGAATTGCAAACCACGCCCGTAAAACTCGGAAAAGTTTTGTGAAGCCGCCATTTTATTTGCTGGCATTAGCATTATTAGCATTAGCATTAGCCCAGCGCACCAACGGAGAGAGACTAATTTATGGCAACACAAAAGAAAACATGGGAGCGGTGGAGATGAGGAGGTGTCGGCGTTCTGGCGATTTACTCGGAAGGCTTCAGTAGAAGCTGCTGGGAGTCCCAGCAGCTTCTACTGAAGCCTTCCCCAACTCCAGGGACTTCCGGCCGGGGACTTCGGGTGGCAGTATACACCGTGAAGTTGTTTGCGGCCTGCCAGTAAACCCAAAGCAGAAGAAGAAGAATCTCTTCAACTTATTTCAGGGCAAAAACTAAAACCACATGCAGAAACCCATTGACCTCCAGAGGGGACAGGAAGTGATAAGAGTCACATAGAGCGGTGCAGTGAGGACGTATTTTAGTAGTTCGACCCTTTGTAAGCTGCTGGTTCCCTCGACAAAAACAACGGGATTTCTCCAGGATTCTGGATTTAGGATTCTGGAATATTGTAAAAATAAGATCTGTGGAAACGAACCTGTTTGATAAATGCATGTTTTGTTCAGCCGGATAATCTCCACATGTCTACACTACTTTTATAATGTTCGAATCATAAATCTAATGGCCAGAAGCAAAATGCTAACGTGATGCTATAAAGGAACTACCGCCGAGTCCAGCAGCACGACTTCAACGTCACGCCAACTTCAGATCCATATTCAAACACACAGATTCTAAATGGTACGAGTTGAAGCGTTTGTTTGAACAGTTAGCAGGAGGCAGGGACTTGCTTTCAAGCAGAACAGAAACTAACTTAGAGCAGTGTTAACGTGTTCGGCGTAATGACGTACAACGTCCTCCACGACTTCTGTAGTCCTATTCAGCCACTTGGTAACAACCATCGTTTTTCAGACACGTAAACTCTTCAGAAATCACCAGTGGGGTCACTGCTGATGGATTTAATGTCCTAGAACAAAACGTGATCCGTCTCTTCAATGTGTCTCAACCTCAGACCTTAGTTCAGATACTTTCCTAAATCTTATGGAGAGATCCCATTGGCTCTGAGACCAGGGAACAGGAAGTGGAGAAATGCTGACTCACTTCCTGGTTTTAGGACTCATTCCTGCACCACTCTATAGGGGACTCTTTAGCTCTCTACAGGTAGACTTTTCTCCCCCCTCCCTCGGATCGTACCACCACCCTCAGCTTCTTCTCCAGGACGTCCCTCCCGCCCCCCTTGGTCTTCAGGGTGAAGGTCAGAGTGTGCTCTCCGGGCTCCAGCCCCAGCAGGGTGAACTCCACCTTCCCCACCCCCCCGGCTGAGAGGCGCCTCCAGGTGCAGGCCGTGCTGTGCAGACCCCCCACCCCCGGCTGGGACTCCTGCAGGCAGAGAGCCGGGCCGGCCGTCAGCGTCACGCAGAACTGGGGAGAGAGAGAGAGAGAGAGAGAGTTATAAAGAGAGAGAGATAGCAGAACTGGGGAGAGAGAGAGAGAGAGAGTTATAAAGAGAGAGAGATAGCAGAACTGGGGAGAGAGAGAGAGTGCTGTAGTGGTTAGGGTTAGCAGCGAGCAGAGGATCATGGGATATGTAGTGTGCAGAGGATCATGGGATATGTAGTGTGCAGAGGATCATGGGATATGTAGTGCTGTAGTGGTTAGATGTCACGATGGGTTGAGCACTACTCAGAGCTCTATGGCAAACCAAGGAGCATCAGCGACGTGGCTTTGGCCTCAACACCCAGCTTTGACATCAATGCTGAGCTGGACATCTTGCCACCCATGGTAGAGCTAGTGAACGCGCTGAAGCACAGTACTAAGGGCAAAGCTGCGGCACGGACGGCGTCCTGGCTGATCTCCTCAAATGTGACAGCTGCTTACTGCCGCACATGCACAAGCTGCTCTGTCAATGCTGGCAAGCCGTGCTTTCCCATCGGACATGAAGGACGCCAAGATAATCACGCTTTACAGCAGGCGTGGGGAACCTTTTTCCTCTCAAGGGCCATTTCCATTTTTTCAGCATCCTCCGAGGGCCGTACAAATGATTGACCTCTGCTTCAAAATACTAAAATCACAGCCCATTCTTTTCGCCTTTCTTTCATGCTGTGCAAAGAAAAAGAACCTCTTAATCCAGATATCTTTCCATGACTCGCGCATGCATGCACGTGCATATTCGTTAGCATAGCTAGCTAACCAGATGCTAATAACAACAAAGTGATTGACTGTATGATCAGTGTGACAGATGAGCAGATCTCTGGGCTTTCAACTAAAGACACAGCCACGCAGAAACTGCGCCATGTGTACGGCTCCTTATGGGTACTGACATTTCTGAAGTCCCGGAGCGGTGTTCTGGTGCTCTCCGTCAGAACTGCACCCGTCAGACGAGACATATACCACGTGATGACACGTTAGGCTCGTGTTGTGTTCAAGGACCCTGACCGTGGCCAGGAAAAACAGGCACTCGCTTTTTTAATTATTTTGCGGTCTAGATTTCTTTAATTTTTTTATTTTTTGCGTGTGTTTATAAATGACCTCGAGGGCCGTACCAAATGGTCTCGCGGGCCGCATACGGCCCGGGGGCCGGAGGTTCCCCACCCCTGCTTTACAAGAACAAAGGCGACAAAGGCGACTGTAACAACTACCGTGGCATTTCGCTACTGAGCGTGCTTGGCAAGGTCTTCTCCAGAATTCTGCTGGTGCGGCTCCAGAACCTGGCTGCTCGCGTGTACCCAGAGTCACAGTGCGGCTCCAGAACCTGGCTGCTCGCGTGTACCCAGAGTCACAGTGCGGCTCCAGAACCTGGCTGCTCGCGTGTACCCAGAGTCACAGTGCGGCTCCAGAACCTGGCTGCTCGCGTGTACCCAGAGTCACAGTGCGGCTCCAGAACCTGGCTGCTCGCGTGTACCCAGAGTCACAGTGCGGCTCCAGAACCTGGCTGCTCGCGTGTACCCAGAGTCACAGTGCGGGTCCAGAACCTGGCTGCTCGCGTGTACCCAGAGTCACAGTGCGGCTCCAGAACCTGGCCGCTCGCGTGTACCCAAGGTCACAGAGCGGGTTTCGAAGTGGCCGATCAACAACAGACATGGTCTTCACGGTGCGCCATGTGCAAGAAAAGTGCAGAGAGCAAAACAAACCACTGCACACGGCGTGTGTCGACCTGACGAAGGCGTTCCACATGGTGAGTCGGGAAGGACTGTTCGCCATCTTGCATAGACTGGGCTGCCCACCGACACTGCTCGGGCTGGTCAAATCGCTTCACGAGGACATGTCAGCAACGGTTTTCTTTTAAGGATCTACTTCAGACAGCTTCGCGTTCGCAGTGGAGTCAAGGCTGCGTGTTAGCGCCCATGCTCTTCGGCATCGGCAAGACGGCGTTTTCCTGCACACGCGGTCAGATGGGAAGCTGTTCAACCTGGCCCGACTGCGCGCGAAAAGCAAGGTACGGAAGGTGCTAGTTCGTGAGCAGTGAGCAGAGGATCATGGGATATGTAGTGTGCAGAGGATCATGGGATATGTAGTTCTGTTACCTGGATGGTGTCCAGCTGCTGGTTGTAGACGGAGCCCCTCAGCTCCAGCTGCTCTCCTCTCACCAGCTGGTACGGCAGCGGGACGTCCACACTGAGAGGCAGGGCCACAGACACCTGCACCGGGTCTGCTGCACACACACCTGCACACACACACACACACACACACACACACACACACACACACACACACACACACACACACACACACACACACACACGGAGAGAGGGATTAGAAAAAGTCAACATTTTGAGATTTTGAGAAAAAGTCAAAAAGTCAAAAAACAATGCATGATTTTGAGATTTTAGAGAAAAAGTCAGACTTTTGAAATTTTTGAGAAAAAGTCAGAATTTTGAGAAAAAGTCAGAATTTTGAGAAAAAGTCAGAATTTTGAGAAAAAGTCAGAATTTTGAGAAAAGTCAGAATTTTGAGAAAAAGTCAGAATTTGGGGATTTTGGAGAAACAGTAAAAAAAAAGGGTCATGATTTTGAGAAAAAGTCAGATTTTTGAGAAAAAGTCAGACTTTTAAGATTATAGAGAAAAAGTCAGACTTTTAAGATTATAGAGAAAAAGTCAGACTTTTGAGATCTTAGAGAAAAAGTCAGACTTTTGACATTTTTGAGAAAAAGTCAGAATTTTGAGAAAAAGTCAGAATTTTGAGAAAAAGTCAGAATTTGAGAAAAAGTCAGAATTTGGGGATTTTGGAGAAAAAGTCAAAAAAGAGTCATGATTTTGAGAAAAAGTCATATTTTTGAGAAAAAGTCATATTTTGGAGAAAAAATCAAATTTTGGAGAAAAAGTCAGAATTTTGAGAAAGTCAGAACTTTGAGAAAAAGTCAGAACTTTGAGAAAAAGTCAGAA